CAATAAAAAACCTTCCTAAAAAGAAAAGTCCTGGACCAGATGGTTTCACACTCGAATTTTACCACACCTACAAGGAATAACTGATGCCTATCCTGCAGAAATTATTCCACAAAATTGAGAAGGATGGAATATTCCCCAACACATTTTATGAAGCGAACATAACACTGATACCAAAACCAGGAAAGGATGCAACAAAAAAAGAAAACTACAGACCAATATCCCTTATGAATAGAGATGCAAAAATTCTCAACAAAATCCTAGACAGTCAAATCCAGGTGCTGGTGAAGAAAGTAATCCATCACAATCAAGTGGGTTTCATCCCAGGGATGCAGGGATGGTTCAACATACGCAAATCTGTAAATGTAATTCACCATATAAACAGAAGCAAAAACAAACACCATATGATCCTCTCAATAGATGCAGAAAAAGCATTTGACAAAATTCAACACTCTTTCATGATAAGAACGCTCAACAAAATAGGCATAGACAGGGCTTACCTAAAAATGATACAAGCCATATATGACAAACCCACAGCCAATATCATACTGAATGGGGAAAAATTGAAAGCATTCCCACTTAGAACTGGAACAAGACAAGGTTGCCCACTATCTCCACCTCTATTTAACATAGTGCTGTAAGTCCTTGCCACAGCAATCAGACAAGAGAGTGGAATTAAGGGCGTCCAAATGATAAATGTATTTGGTAAGTTTCAGGATACAAAATCAATATACAGAAATCAGAGGCATTTATATATGCCAACAACAGTAAAAGTGAGAAACAAATCAAAGACTCAATTCCCTTCAAAATAGCAACAAAGAAAATAAAGTACCTAGGAATATATCTAACTAAGGAGGTAAAACACCTCTATAGGGAGAGCTATGAAACATTGAAGGAAGAAATAGCAGAGGATGTAAACAGGTGGAAGAATATACCATACTCATGGGTTGGCAGAATGAACATTGTTAAATGTTCATTATGTTAAATGTATAAAATGTCTATACTACCCAAAGTGACCTACAGAGTCAATGCAATCGCTATTAAAATACCGTCATCATTTTTCACAGAGATAGAAAAAATAATTTTACGCTTTGTATAGAACCAAAGAAGACCCCTTATAGCAAAATCAATCCTAGGCAATGAAAAGAAAATAGGAGGTATCAATTTACCAGATTTCAAACTATACTACAAGGCTATATCAATTAAAATAGCTTGTGACTGGCACAAGAACAGGGACATTGAACAGTGGAACAGAACAGCGAACCCAGATATAAAACCATCCTCATATAACCAACTAATCTTCGACAAAGCAGAAAAAAACATACACTGGGGAAAAGAATCCTTATTCAATGAATGGTGCTGGGAAAACTGAATAGCCACATGTAGAATTCTTAAACAAGACCCACACCTTTCACCTCTCACAAAAATCAACTCAGGCTAGGTAACAGACTTGAACATAGGTGTGAAACTATTAGAATTCTAGAGGATAACGTTGGAAATACTCTTTTAGACAATGGCCTAGGGAAAGAATGTATGAAGAAGACCCCAAAGGCAATCACAGCAGCAACAGAAATAAACAAATGGGACCTGATCAAATTAAAAAGCTTCTGCACAGCCAAAGAAACTGCCAAGAGAGCAAACAGACAACTCACAGAATAGGAGAAAATTTTTGCAAGCTACGCCACTAATAAAACACTGATAACTAGAATTTATTTAGAACTCAGGAAAATCAGCAAGGAAAAATCAAACAACCCTATCAAAAAGTGGGCAAAAGACATGAACAGAAATTTTTCAAAAGAAGACAGAATAAAGGCCAACAAACATATGAAAAAATGCTCATCGTCTCTAATCATCAGGGAAATGCAAATCAAAACTGCAATGAGATATCACTTATCTCCAGTAAGAATGGCCTTTATCAAAAAGTCCCCAAACAATAAATGTTGGCCTGGATTCGGAGAGATAGGAACACTCCTACACTGCTGGTGGGACTACAAACTGGTTCAGCCTCTGTGGAAAGCAATATAGAGATACCTTAAAGGGATACAAGTAG